TCCTGCTTCCAGCTATACTGCATTCTGTCCCCCAAAATCTGCTATGAAGTATTTACTGACCATATGATTTGCACATCACTGCTTCTGTTCCCTATATCCATCACTTTTTCCTTCATTGAAAAGTACTCACTGACATTCACTACCTGCTAACAGTGCTTTAGTTTGTATGTTATCAGTCATGAAGGCTGATATTTGACCAAAACAATATTCCAGACATCTGCTTTATAGCAGCATGCAACAGAGGCTGATGATCACTTGAAAACCCCAGAAATTTTGTACAGGCTGAAGAAAATATGAAGCATTTAGAACTCCTTGCCTAGAATTTTAGAGAGTGATGTATTGATTCTCTTCTGTAAGAAGTCTATTTGCCAGTTTTAGGTCACATATATCAGTAAAGTTTGCTCACGACAACTCTGTAAAGGTTATGTGTAAAGGATGCAGACAACATGGATTGATTATTTCTCCTTGATCTAGGCTTTAGAACGTGTGAAACCAACAGATGACTGCAGAACTGGCAAAGAACCAGAAAACCAGCGTAAAAACAGATACCGAGATATTCTTCCATGTAAGTGTGCACACTAATGAGAACACATTCAGTGGACAAAGACATTAGAAAACAGAAAAACAGTTATAACACTTAGATAGAGGAAGTCTCTTCTCAGAGAAAATGATCTGTGGGCAACTGTAACTTCAACTAAAATAGCAGTTTTAAAAATCTATTTAAATATACAGCTATGTCTACTGCTTGTGACACAGCAGAATTCTGAAAAGTACAGTAGAAATCATGGAGCTATGTGGTTCTAGGAAAGATAAAAATTCTTTTAGAAGCATTTGAAAACATAATATCTAATCAGAACTTTCAGCTTCTCAGCTCTGACCTGGGTCAGAAACAAGTTTCATCACTGATGAAAAGTCATCAGGAATATTTGAGTCCAAAAGCTGAATGACTCGCATTAAGGATTCCCAAAAAATAATGTACTGCCCACTGATTGCCCGAGAGATATCACAGCAGCAGGAGAACACTTTCTGGACCCTTGATGTCTTTCCAAACCGCAGCAGCAGGACAACATATGCAAAGTTTGTAGCACAGTTCTCTCTCTATACTAGTGATGCAGTGCACATTCTCAGAGGTTTCCTGTTTTATAACACCAACATCCAGTGACAATGTTCCCATGCCATACATTAGACGCAGTGTTGGATATACTATTTTGAATCACTGCCAAACAGTAGTGTGGTAAGTTGAAGGCTTGTCAGACTTCTAGAATCATAGAATGTTTTAGGCTGGAAGGGACCTCTAGAGGTCATCTGGTCCAACCTCCCTACACAAGCAGGGACATCTCTACCTGGGTCAGGTTGTTCAGAGCCCCATCAAGCCTGACTTTGAACGATTCCAGGGATGGCGCCTCCACTACCTCTCTGGGAAGCCCATTCCAGCGATATATCACCCTTATATTAAAGAACTTTTT